CAACTTCTTGAGATGAAAAATCATAGTATAAACATCCATACCCTCATATTGCTTCTACAACTTAGGTGACATAGCTACAAGCATCACACATGTTACAGTGTTATCGTCATCACAGTGTTTGTTGTAAGCAGCTCAGTGGAGTTTTCAATAGGTACCTCTGGAAGGAGTTGCTCAATGACATATCCAATTTTTTCATGCTTGAGAACGATTCTCAAATTGTGGTGCCAATCGAGAAAATTTGATCCGATCATTTTGTTGGCATCCAGTATACCTTTCAAATTCATATGATTACTCATGATTCAAAAACTGTAAATGACGAAAAATGGAGAATTAATATGTATGGTAATGCATTGCACAAATTTAATATGGACTTTAATTAAACGTGCTGCCACTATTTAAAATGAATTTATGACCCTCATACATAAATTATTGGAATCCACATTTGATTTCCAGTAGGTTGGAATCCCATTTATTATATCAACAAACCTTAATAAAAAATTCGGGCAGATACTATAATCAATTGTATCTCTATACAACTTTCAAATCATTAAGTTGACAACTCCTTGTCTTTAAATATCTTATATGTTAGTTTAATATGCCTCTAAAACTTATCTCCTTGAGTGTACTCAACAAAAGATAAATTTTAGTTAAATCAAACCCATCATTAAAAAATATCAAATATTTCATAGTGTCAAACATATCCCTAATAGACCAGCCTGAGTGTACACAACGAGCTGAGAACGATTTAGAATTCTCGTTTTTCACGATAATGATGGAAGGCAAATAATACCTACTTAATATTTTAACGAGAGACTTATCATGCAATGGTCTCATTGTGTGTGTATATATATAATCATGTATCAACTATGCAAATAAATATACATATAATAGTATGGATGATTATGGATTTATTCTATCTAGTTTTTCCAAGCCAAGAGGAAAACTAGTTGGTCAATTCCAAGGGAGTATAGCATTGAATCAATATCAATGCACCATCTTCATGGTTTCCTCATTTTCTTGTGCCTGCAATAAGTCCAGCTACAACCTGTATCCTATACTAGTTGATATGCAGGCCTAAATAAAATTGGACTCGCAGACCCATAATAACAACAACAACAGATTCGCAGGCCCATAACAACAATAATAATAACGGACTCGCAGGTCCATAACAATTAAGAGCTGGAAGACCCATAAAACAACAAGGATTAAATCAGCCATTCAACACATCCACATGATCCAGTCCATAATCGGATCATTAATAGATATTCATCACATAAATATTTCCTATATAATATCTAATACTATATGCAATGTCTTAAGAATCTAGCAATTATAGTCGTCAAAACTCATTTAAGTAAATGCATCAAAACAATAAAATAATTAATTAATCATATTAATCAATCAACTTAATTGGCGGGCCTATTTAATTAAAATGAAATTTTTAATTAAATCCCGAATTATAGTAAATATTGGGCGAAGTTATTTAATTAAAATCAAATTTTAATTAAATATTAAATTAGAGTCCAACTCTAATTCTTTAAAAAATTTTAGAGTGGGATGATTAAAATCAAATTTTAATTAATTAACAAATTAGAGTCCAACTCTAATTTCAAAATATATTGAGAAAATAATATTAATTAAAATCAAATTTTAATTAACATTAGATTAGAGTCCAACTCTAATAAAATTGAATTAACATTTTAATTTAGGACAAAAAAACCTAAATAAAACAAAATTCAATTCAGGATCAAAATCAAATAATTAAGTTAAAATCTAATTTTAACAAAATATGAGAGTCATCAGTTTTAAACAAAATTCCAATTTTGGGCCCAAATTAAAACATGGGTCAAATCCTATTGAAAACACAATTTTAAAACCAAAATCCAAAACGCATTTTGAAAATTATAATTGACCCAAGTTAAAATTAAAAAAAGGGCCTCTACTTCTAAAATTCATGACAAGTCCTCCATTTAAAATTGCAAATTTTAGCCACTTTCATAATTGCATGAGCCCCCCCTCAAAAATTCATAAATTTTAGAGGAGCCCCCATCTCCAATCTAATTCTACAGAAACCCAAAAATTTTTTAATTTTATTCTATTACTTCATCTACTGACGCTGGTGTGGCAAGAGCCTGCCGCTTGTAGCAGCGACTCCTGCAGTCGCCACTTGAGATGGCGACGGCAAGCCCCCCAGATCCAATTTTTTTTTTTTTTTCAAAACTAATTGTGAACATAAAATAAATCAATAATTTCTAGATCAAGAAAGGCATAGATAGATCAACTTTTGATTTAATCAATATATAAATCAATCCCTCACAAACACAACTTGACTCCGATACCACTATTAGGAATCTAATTAAACATGCACAGCGAAAATTAAAAACGAATTTCAATTCCCACAAGGATTCATCTTTGTATTTAGATAAGAATTATGATAAAAGTTATACCTTTTTAGATTTGCAAACTCCTTTGCTTAATCTTTGTTCTAACAACCTTGATCTGTCTCCCACAACTGTCTAATTGTCCAACATCCAATAAATTCCACACAAAGAACAGATTGTAACCACCAGGGTTTTCTCCTCTTATGTTAGCAAGAATTATAAGAATCTCTACGAATTGAAAACACTAGTCACGTATTTATATTAGCCCATATGAGCTTGGCCTGACCCGATCTAATATTTAATTAACTCATTTAATTAAATTTGGTCCGTAAATTAATTAATTCAATTAATTAATTCGGGTCTATAAATAACCAACTCAATTAATTAATTTATCCAACATTTATTAAATTAATTAATCGATAAATTACAATCTTCCAATTCTCTTTTGTGTGCGACCTATCAAGTTCCCGATCACAATACATAAGACGTGAAATATTATTTTAATCTAATCAAAATTGTTAAATTAAAACACCTTTTTAATTTATCACCAATTTACACTCGTTGTCTCAAATTGACATCTAGCAATGTGTCAGAGCAATATATGTGACGGAAAATGTCACGTGGTATGACAAAGCCAAACTGTTCATTTTTCATGAAACTATAATCATTTCATCAATATAATCTGATCAATTACGAGTATGATCCGATCAATCTCAATCATCGATCATATCTTTCATTCCATATTAAGTCTACATAAGTCGAAAATTCCTTTTCGACTTCTGAGTATACCTTGGCCAAGAATTTCCTTATTGACTTAATTGAATGAAATGCAGATCATAATATCTTACTGTCTAAGAGTAACGAATCCTCTATTTGTCATTCATAACCTTCATATGATTCTTGACATACCCGAATGATGCCATATTAGCGACCTTTGACAGAGCAACATCCAACACTGTCAAAGTATGACTATCTTCATATAAGACACTATGACGACCTCAAGTCAAGGACCAATTCCACTATTGAACATTAGAGATTAACCACTGACACTTAGATAGTTATCCATGCAAAATTTCTTAGCGGGTCTCCGATATTTTGTTCTATAACAAAACATCAACTCGTTTATTTAAGTGTATCCACACTTTAACTTGTGAGATCGGCTACTTAGTTCACAGAAGAAATGCCACACGTGATGGTCTATCCGTAATAACGATGTCAGTATCTCGTTATTACTTATGACCACGAATTATTTAAGATCCAAGTATATGTAATTTGCATATCACAAACACAATTCATTTTGATTTACAAATTACTGAAACTTGAATCTTCGAACTCTATTATTTAACGTTATTCATCAGATTATTAATTTAAATAAATAATATATCTTGCCAAAAATAAATGTATTAAACATATTAAAAGTGTTTACAACCTAAATCGATTGAATTTATGGCATAATACTTACAGAAAAGAATTGTGACATCATTTTAATAACTTATGTTTGACAATTGACACTAATAAAAATTAATTACACGTATTATTCAATTATCAACAACTCATTTTCTAATTGTTCATATACATTTGCAAACACATGCCAAATTAACTAATTGCTTTCGAGAATGGTAAATAAATCTTATTTCAAAAAGAAATTAAATTTAATTTTAGTCAAGTGTCCAAAAGTAGAATAGCATGAAATTTGAATGATTTTGACAAAAGATTAATAGTGCAAATCAAGTGCCATATTGTTTCACTATTTTTTCCACCAAGAGCTTTACGAATTTTCTTTTTCATTTGGCTTTATATCCTTGCGCCAACAATACATCCAATGAAATAGATTGGTGCAATTTGGTCTTCATTAGCAATAATACTTTTTGGCTCATAGCCCCCATCGCAATAATGCAGTGTAAACACGTTTATTTGCCAAAGAAGAAACATCCCTTTAGTAGCCTTAGGCCGTAAATCAGTTAATTTGACTAAATGGAGGTGGGGTTGATAAACTACAAAGTAGACAAATAGAGTGGTCCAAGCATTAATTCCAACAAATGGGATTTCAACCATGTTCATTGAGTTTATCACATAAATAATCCTTCAATAAAGTAACATTTTTTTTTTTTTTTTTTTGGTTCTAAGATTATATTATTATCCCACTAAACTTATTCTCCAAATATAGAACAACTTTGCAGAAAATCTCAAGTATAGTTTGAACAGATCGATGTTTGTAATCAATGTTCTTATCTGCTCCTCATTATAGGGTTAGCTTCCTGGGGCGTTTTCTCATCCTCTTTGATAGGTATATTTAAAGTGTTAACAAATTTTTTATATACTTGGTGGCTTGATGTCTTTCTGTAGCAGATTTCCTGCCTCAAATGATTGTCGTAAAACCCAGTATTCGTAATGAGCTCAATAAAATGTGGAATTATGTGACTCATTTAATTGTTCCTATCATTTAATGACACTTAAAGTCATCTAAACTGATATTGTAACACAAGTGACGTTAAATAGCATGAGTCAAGAGAAATAGTGGTAGTTCCACCAAATGTTGGATAATAATGAATAGTACTTATGCATGTATGACTTTGATTGGATTCATAAATAATTTAATGGAATGAAGATAAAAATCCCTTTTCCACAAATATGTGAATATGGTAGATAAAAAACAAAAAGGAAACGAAGACAAAACCTCCATTGAAATAACATCTCTATACAAACAAGACAAGATAAAATTTGGCCATAGGAAGGCTGTTATATCGAGACCTGAGTCGAACTGGGGAGTGGTAAGGAAGCTTGATCAGACCCCTTTTGCCAAAATTAATAATAAGAAAATGTTGATTCATCTCCTACGTGCGATGTAGTTGATGAAGATGGAGATGATGACATGTCACCCGATCTTCTTCTTAGCATCTGCCTCATTCCATCGGCAACTCGAATAGCTGGATTTGATTTATATTTTCGACAAAATGACATGTGAGCCTTAAGAGCTTCATCCATCCCAAATTGTTTTTTAACTTCATCTCTTACGGCTTCTGAACACAAACCACATAGCCATTTTCCGTTGAATTTCGCTTTTACTTCGCTTATGTAGTCCTGTGTGCAATCTTCTTTCAATCCACAGCACTCACACTTTACCGCTTCAATATCCATTTTTCCCTCTCTCCTCTCTTGAAAAATCAACTTTATCGAGATTTCTAAGAAAATTCTTCCTTTCTTTCGTCTATTTATTTTCCATGAAAACTGAGAATAAGAGTATGAGGGAGTAGTAGTAAGTGGAAGGAGAGCGAAAATAGAGAACTTTATAGGAAGGAAACAAAGCTACCATAATTTCCTCCATGTTCTAAGGGACATTGAGCAGTGGAATATGAGACAATGTGGCCCGCTCGGTTGGCGTGGGTAGGAGGGGGGGGGGGTTGGGGGCTAATGTGGTGCCCTTTCTTGCATTCATGAATTCAATATAGGATTTTAATAAATTGGATTCCCTACTTGCTTTTGTCATTTTCTTTAACGCTTTTGAGAGCTTTTTATGGCTGATTCATCTACTGTTACTTTCTGTTGACATGGTACGAATGGCTTAATTGGCTCTTCAGCTTGAATCATTTTTTTTCCCCTTCTTGCATTTGCATTTTTCTATAAACGTATGAACGGATCCGATTTTTGTTAGGAAGAAGTAAAATTTTAAAAAAAAAAATTAATGTAGTAAATATTTATATAAATAAGCTGACAAGAAAACAACAATTCAACAATTTTATTTAAATATACATAGTTATGGATAACAATTTGCAAATGAATGAATAAATCAATGACATGATGAAAAACGAAATACTTATTAACTGCATAATAGAGTAATTGAGTAAATTAAGGAGCGTGAATTTAAATATTAACAACATAGGAATTTTATTCCTAAAATTAATAATAAAAAAAAGGTTAAATTTTACAAATTTATGATTTTCATTTTATTATAGGAATAATTGCCAAAATTTTATTCACAATGTTTGATTACTTTTAGTATTATTCTCCTATTAATTTGATTGCATAACCGTAAAAAGTGATGATTTCCTTTATGATTTTGCAAGCAAAATTAAAACTTAGACACAATTGTTAATTAACCATTCATCATTCTAGAATCAAATAATTATAAAAAGACAAACAAAAATAAAAAAAAAAGAGTCCCCACCACCCCCATCCACCCATCACTCACATTTTGAAAATATTTGGTGTCTGAGATATAACAAAACTCGAAATATAATTAATGTCCATTTTTACATATGTATTAAACATGTGTGTTGTTTAGTGATCACACATTGTCGACATATTATGTAAGCTAATTATATATGAAAGGGAAAGTTAGGCGCTATATTTGTAGTTCACAATCCTAAGGCGATCTCCAATTCATGGCACCAAATTAGTGCAACTTTCACACCATCTTGCAAAGCCATCTCTAACACGTTATGTTAAATATTACACCAAATGAACTTTTTTCAATTCCTTTATTTTTATAGATTAAATTCTCGTAATTATAAATTATATTACTACTAAAATTACTAAATAAAAATTATATTTAATTAACAATAATTTATTAAAAAATTAAAAAATATGCACTTAATAACATTTTTTTTAAAATTACATTTAACAAAAAAATAGAAAAAATTACCTATTAAAACAAAACATCACAAAAGAACATAAAGCTTAGTTTTGTCATATATAATTATCAAACTAGTATCTTGAATTTTAATGTATTCAATAGTTATTATAAGTGTTAACATAAATTATAATTTAATTAGATAAATATAAATTAAATTACATCATGACTAATAAATAATATAAAAAGGATATTGTTAACCCTCGAAAATGGTCTACATGTGTTGATACAAGATAATATGCACGTGGACGTATTATGCAGTATTTTTACTGTAAATATGAATGTTTGTGGACGAAGGTGAATAGTGGACAATGCAAGTGTATTTTTCCCTTCACTGTATTTTTTCAAGATTTCTCAATTGATACAAGAATTCCCTAATTATAGTGATCAGGCCGACGTGGTCATCGTAGGAATGGATCCACGTGGCCTGATTTGCCGACCCTAACTGTTACATCAACTCCATCATCTATTAATTACATTGATAGGTTTTTGACAAGAGGTCAGCCACTCTATAAGCTAGGCTGACAATCCTGACACTTACCCACGTCATATTAGTCAATTCTGGAGACGTGCTTGTCCGACCCTCTTTTGTTTGTCAAGGACTTCGGATACTAGAGTGGTTCGATGGCAGAAGGCGAACCACCTCGGATCAACTTAGTGGAACAACGTTGGCACTTCCTTTGACAGCTTTGGACGTTAGTCCTTTCTGCACCAATTCTTGGGTGCTCGTCATGTGTATGCATATGAGGTCTCCACGTAGACCTTTCTGTATTGACTAGTAACAGTAGTCTCCCAAGTCTTTGATCATTTATGTGGTACATAGAATTTGTAATTAATTTCGAAGTTTTCGAGAAAAATTCAAAGAGAAGAAATTCCCGATGGATGTCGATCTCCCAAGTCTAATTTACCAACATTGATGTGGGAATTAGAATTTGTGAGAGGGTTGTGACGTTGAATTTTGAGCTTATAGTCCCCCAATTCAGTTTGGGGCTTTCGAGGGGGGATCAACTGAGGTTCTTTAGTAGCTGAGCCGAAGTGCTTTAAGATGTAGGTCGAGGTACTTTTGTGTTGTAGTGCTACCGATGTTGTAAGTGTCACAGAGAGGAGTTGGGTAGGGTCAACATGGGAATATGTGAAGGGTCTTAAGCATTGTGCTGTAATGATTAACTATGTTTATTGTGCAACTGAAATTGTGATGTTTGAGACGGTTCGGGTAGTTAGATCGTCTTTTATCATTTATTGACACAAGTTACTATGTTGACGTTCAGTCTTCCTGAGGAGGGCGGTGCTCTCAATTTTCAAGGCATTGCCAAAAGTGTTTCGATCTGGGCCCTGAAACTGAATCGTTGGTTTTATCGGGTGTTCTATAAGTGCCTCGAATTTGGACAGTCTATATTCTTAAGATTTGATGGTAAAAAAATGCATGTGTTTGCCTATAAAAAGGCTCATTCTTACTTGAACACTTTATTTACTGGTGTGAATTGCTCTGTGATGTTTCTTTGTGATATGACAAGAAATCGTATTAATGCTTAGTGGATCTTGAGGAGAGTTGGTGCAAGGGTTTGCTTGGTTTTGGGTAATGCCATGGAGAGTGCAAGTTGGATGATTCTTGGGTACAATGGATGGGATGCTTGGATTTGTGAAAATGAAAATGAAAAGTGCAAATGCAACCTCAGCACAATCTTCTTTGAACGCCCTATGTGGAAGGTCACCCACTGCCTTATATTATGTTGCAATAGGGTGTGATTTGGGCCGTACTTTAAGCCGACCTTTGTAGCATGTTGATGAACACATACCTCTCTATGGCAACTAGGCTGCCTCCTCTGCTAGTATGAACTAGGCAGAGTGTATTGTAGCTGAAACTTTGAGTTTCAACATAGTCCCGTAGGTCTTGTAAATGTGAAGGTCGAAGACGTAGGTCTTGTAAATGTGAAGGTCGAAGCATATGGTGGACATTTTTAAGGAGAAGAGGTTCGGCGATTTATGTGCAGTAGCTATACTTTATCATCATTTATTTTTCATTTTTACCATCCATTCACTTTCTATGTAATGTTTTGTAAGTGACTCTGATGCACTTGATTGTAATGTTTCATAGTTAGGAATAAAATTTTACTTTTTATGCAAATCTGTATTTGGACTTCAGATTATTACTGCTTCGTATCGGGGTCTTTTTGAGAAGAGGGCCGTGCCCTTGCAGTAGTTCTCTATTTTCTTACCCTTTTGTAGGTATCTTCTGTGCCTTCATGAGGGTCAGTTTTGTAGGGTCCGACTCTTTTCGTAGTTTTGTAGGGTCCGACTCTTTTCGTTATTCTGTCCTTAGGGCGAATTTTTATTTCTGAGGGGGATATCTTCGAGCTCCCACTTCTTTTACCGAGGTGCCCTTTTTTGGGTTGAGCCTTGCAAATGCTTTTCAGCTCATATTTTGAAGTGTCTCTATGGGCCGATGCACTTTGGGCTATATATTTTTCCTGTTCCTTCAAAGGAACTAGCTTAGAAAGTGTCATTCACTTTGCTGAGGGTTTCGGTAGTCTCTTCTTCGTGGAGTTGACTAGGTCATGTCTAATGTCCAAATACAATGTAAATCAACATGCAAGATAATAAGACCGGTGTGATGGGCCGTAAAATATGCTAGTCGTAATTGTTATATACAAGCTAACTAGTAATATCTAATTTAACAGTAGATGTTAAAACAACGAGGTTCTAGAAACAAGACATAACTTAATGAAAAATTTCACAAGCCTTTACAGAAGATGTTGCTCGAGGTCCTTGAGGGAGATGAGGTTGTATGCCGACGCTGCCCTCTATGAATACATATGAAGGGAGCTGAGGTTCTTATTCTCCACACTTCTCAGACCTTCGTGTGTATCTTTTTGGTTTTGTACTTGATGGTTAGTGTATAGTCTTTCCTTTTCAGGATGTATGCATATTTTGGGGGTGGCTCCATGTGGGCCTTTCTTTTTCTGCATTTGGTATCTCGATCGAAGTGGTTTCATCTTTACCTCTTTTTTGAACAAGCTTATTTTGCATAGCTCATTTTGGGGTTATGTCTATAGGGTCGGGGTACGACTTCTGACCCATTTTGACTTTCTTATTCGGATGAGACTGGAGTTTTAGCCTCGGGATGAGGACATTAGCTTTCACCTTTTATGCCCAAGCTTCTTTAGGTAAGATAATTCTGTAATGCATATGACTAAGCTGTTCTGCCTGTAGAGCACAACAAATCTTACTTTCCAGCGACTGCTGTCGATGGGTCAGCTTCCGCTGGCCGATGTCATTAAGGCCTGCCCTGGCTTATATGTCTTATCGTCTATTTCTGCGAGAGGAGCTAATTCGAGGCGGCCATAATTGGCGCTCATTTCCTCAGACAAGGCCTTCTGCCTTTCTCATGAGGATGGTGGTTATGACTTCTGTCTCCTATCTTTATCTTTTGGATGGGATGGGGAAGACAGCGTATCACTTTTCAGTAGGGCTTGTCCTTACTTTACCGACCTCCTAGGAAGGTCAGCTCTTGTCGGCCGGGGTTGCAAAGTCCGGTTTGGTAGTTATATGTCTTAGCGTCTCTTTCTGTGAAAGGGCATCTCTAGGCCTTGAGCCTTTTCCTCTTGCGTGATCAGTTTTTGTAGGTCCGCATCCGAGCTAATGCATCTCATCTTTCTCACCTATTTCTA